ATATAACTCCGACTGGATTCGTCTGAAAGAAGAAAGTCATATACACCTAGGATGCATCGGGGGTGATTAAAACGCAGCCTAATTTTTATTTTTGGGTGAACTAACCCTTTAAGACTGAAACTCACTGCATCACGTAGCTTTAACTGAGCTAAACCCAAATACTGAGGAGTGTCTGACAGTCAGTCAAAAATATACTTACATAGCTAAAGACGTTCAGCGGTTGAATGGCTCTTAGAAGAACCTTTGGAGTTTTTTTTAGCTGCTGTTGAAACAAAATCAAAATAGAGAAAAAGACAAAACATGACTGAATATGAGTCAGATACTGCACATTTCTGTACAAATTAAAATACTTTTTTTTTTTCCTTAATCTTTTTTTTTTCTTTTCTTATATCATTTCTTATTGGTAATTATGTCAATACTGTATGTATGTATAACATTGTGTTATGAACATGGCAAATCAGAGATGAAGGATGACTCTTAGATTGGTCACTTACAGCAATCAGACGACAATCAATACTTAAAAAAAGGATGAGAATAATTATTTTCATGGTTTAAAGGCTCTGATTACAGTACTATCTCAAAATGCACAATGACAAGAAGAATGCAGAATACACTGCATCATCTGATGATTGGGCCAGTGGGTCAAATTTTTATTTGCTCTGCCAGCCAGCCAGCCAGCCAGGTTTTGTCTTACTTATTATATTTATAATATCTACGGTTAGTTGTCAATGGTAAAACTGAATTGGTGAATTTATTTACTATTTAATGTCAAGGGTGGAGTTTTTCAAACTTATAGATAAATACAAACGTAATAGTTAATGGGAAGCTTCCTTATGTGATCAGTACTCCACTAGACACAGTCCCTACTTCCTCCTCTTCCATCGACACCCACGTCTGCCAGACGTCATGAATGCCTGTCCCATGGGAGATGATTTTGAAGTTGCTGACCCAGAAGATGACATCGACACCAGAGTCAATAAGATGAAACTTCTCAATGAAACGGTATGTATTTGAATAATAAAGGTAAATGAAGTAGTGAATTACTATCAGAATTAGACCTAGGCATAGGCTGATCTATGTATTTTTTTTTTTTGCTGTGATTCTGCTTTATCTCTCTTTAGTTATAAAAGCAATTGAATCTTCATGTGAAGCCACTCTCCCTCACTCTGTTACATTGTAATGATTAACCCTTGTTCCTTATTGTTCTATTTTGGCCTGACTGAAACTCCATTGATCAAGAGACCAGAGAGTTCTGGATTTTTCGATGAGTTTTAATTTTGGGTAATGTTTTTTTTGTAGGTTCTTCACAACATAGAGAGAGCACAGAGCATGCAACAGAAGCCATTCCAAAATCGCAAGCGCAAGTTTGTGCGAGTATGTTCAGTTCAGGCCGGTGATGGTGTTCTGCTCTCACGGGACCCCAAGGAACGACGGACAGGAGACACATTTACAAGTCAGTACCAAGGACCATATACTATGGCCAGCATCTCTTCCAAAGGGGTGGCCACTATCGTCAAAGGGTCAGCTTGTCAGAGGGTCAATGTGTCAAGACTGAGGACATACTACAGATTGAGAAGTAAGAGTGCTTGATAAACTCTGTATAAAACTGTTTGAAATTAAATGCTAGATTGAGAAATATTGGATATTTGTTTGTAATTCCTGTTGTTACTAATGGACTGTGTGTACGGTTACTTCCTGGTTTTAGATAAGCCAGCTCAGTCATTTCCAGTCTTGTTCCTTATTGTTCTATTTTGGCCTGACTGAGACGCCATTGATCAAGAGACCAGAGAATTCTGGATTTTTCTATGAGTTTTAATTTTGGGTACTTTTTTTTTGTAGGTTCTTCACAACATAGAGAGAGCACAGAGCATGCAACAGAAGCCATTCCAAAATCGCAAGCGCAAGTTTGTGCGAGTATGTTCAGTTCAGGCCGGTGATGGTGTTCTGCTCTCACGGGACCCCAAGGAACGACGGACAGGAGACACATTTACAAGTCAGTACCAAGGACCATATACTATGGCCAGCATCTCTTCCAAAGGGGTGGCCACTATCGTCAAAGGGTCAGCTTGTCAGAGGGTCAATGTGTCAAGACTGAGGACATAGTACAGATTGAAAAGTAAGAGTGTTTGATAAACTCTGTATAAAACAGTTTGAAATGAAATGCTAGATTGAGAAATATTGGATATTTGTTTGTAATTCCTGTTGTTACTAATGGACTATATGTACGGTTACTTCATGGTTTTAGATAAGCCAGCTCAGTCATTTCCAGTGAACTGTCAAACTCAGCTGTGCTATAAGGGGAGTGCCCTTTGCTCGGTTTCTCTACATAATCCATTAACAGTCTGAAGAACATTTTTGTTTGTATGAGAGGACCAAACGCTCACGTATACTGTTTCAGGAACGACAAAAGCGAGAGTAAATAATTACACAAGGTAGTCGGCTAGATTGTTGCGCGAGTCATTACTATGATTGACAGTGGCTGTAACTGTAGCGATGGATGGAACAAAACATCTGCGAAGCCGATGTCAAAACAGCATTAAGTGATTCAGAATAAATTCAGAGTAACAAAACTTCAGCTTGCAACAAGTCTGTGTTGGCTGAATATATTGAGCAGCTTCTACAGTTAAAGATAAAACTTAAAAAATTTAGTTTTGTAGTATTTAATTGTTATACCATTAATAATGAACTGAGTTAATTTGTCCTTAACTAGTTAAGTATTTAAATAAATAATCCTTCTAGGTTATTGGTGTCTTATTATTTTTTAAATAACATGAGACTTTGTGACTTCCTGCACTTGCTATACTTCAGTACAGTAAAAGCACTAAAATGTGTTTTTTTTATTTTTATAATAAATCCAAAAGCAAGACGTCAAATAACTAAGAAACTGAGCTAATGAGTGATCCTCTGCTGCCATCTACTGGTTATAAAACTTAAAAAATTTAGTTTTGTAGTATTTAATTGTTATACCATTAATAATGAACTGAGTTAATTTGTCCTTAACTAGTTAAGTATTTAAATAAATAATCCTTCTAGGTTATTGGTGTCTTATTATTTTTTAAATAACATGAGACTTTGTGACTTCCTGCACTTGCTATACTTCAGTACAGTAAAAGTACTAAAAATGTCTTATATTAATAAATTCAAAAACAAGAAGTGAACAAAACTAGGGAGTTGAAATGGCAACTGAGCTAATGGGTGATCCTCTGCTGCCATCTACTGGTTATAATGCTAATTTCATGTCATTTTTGGCACTTTTGATTAAAAAGTGAATCTTTCAAGTGAATTTCTCTGCACAGCTGAAGAGTTGAGAAATAATAAAGGCTTTAAAATATTATAAGCGTTTAAAACATGTATTCATGTCTATGAAGGTAAGTTATCAAGTATCAAGAATACCATTACAATGTTGTTTATGAGATAACATCACTAGCAAGCCAACGTTAGCCTAAACAGTTATGATAGTGTCACACCCACCCACACACACACAGAGAGCAAGAATGAGTCAGTGAGCCCATAAACCGTGACAGATAGTGTGTACTTGTTAGCATTTAAATGTACAATTACGTGTCTAGGTACTCTTCTGGGATTACCAGGATCAGCATATAAAATTATGTTGTTAAGTGTTATTAAATAACATGAAGCTGTAAGATAATGCTGCTGTCATTATTTATTATACGTTATTTGTTTTTTTTTATTATATAAATAATTACGTATTTGTATTAGAGGTCGACCGATGTATCGGTTTTGCCGATTAATCGGCACCGATAGTTGATTGCTGGACCTATCGGTTATTGTCAAAAATCCATGCCGATAGTTTTCCGGGTTGCGTCCATTGCTGGAGCGGCTGAGAAGGGTCTGCTGTCATTATACAGTGCGAGAGCGGCCTCTAGTGGTTGAAATCACTGACAGCACGTGCTATTTGTTTAGACGCGTGATACTGCACGCTGAACAGAGCGGGAAACTTCAGACGCGGATTTAAATGCAGCCGACAGAAAATCCTGCCGCGCCACAGAGCGCCATTCACATAGTTTTCCATTAAATTACATTAAATTAGTCCCGAATCGTTGTCAATGTACATAATGAATTGTGTATTGTGCATTTTCAGCAAAACGTTTGTCTTTCTGTGGCTCTAATAAAGTCTGTGTGCTTCATTTATAGAGCTATAATATAGGTCGCGCTTTCTCTTTCCATTTGCTCCGTTTTTTAAACACCGAACTTCAAACTCATCTATTGTAGGTTCTTCACAACATAGAGAGAGCACAGAGCATGTAACAGAAGTCATTCCAAAATCGCAAGCGCAAGTTTGTGCGAGTATGTTCAGTTCAGTTCAGGCCGGTGATGATGTTCTGCTCTCACGGGACCCCAAGAAACGACGGACAGGAGACACATTTACAAGTCAGCACCAAGGACCATATACTGTGTCCAGCATCTCTTCCAAAGGGGTGGCCACTATCGTCAAAGGGTCAGCTTGTCAGAGGGTCAATGTGTCAAGACTGAGGACATAGTACAGATTGAAAAGTAAGAGTGTTTGATAAACTCTGTATAAAACAGTTTGAAATGAAATGCTAGATTGAGAAATATTGGATATTTGTTTGTAATTCCTGTTGTTACTAATGGACTATATGTACGGTTACTTCATGGTTTTAGATAAGCCAGCTCAGTCATTTCCAGTGAACTGTCAAACTCAGCTGTGCTATAAGGGGAGTGCCCTTTGCTCGGTTTCTCTACATAATCCATTAACAGTCTGAAGAACATTTTTGTTTGTATGAGAGGACCAAACGCTCACGTATACTGTTTCAGGAACGACAAAAGCGAGAGTAAATAATTACACAAGGTAGTCGGCTAGATTGTTGCGCGAGTCATTACTATGATTGACAGTGGCTGTAACTGTAGCGATGGATGGAACAAAACATCTGCGAAGCCGATGTCAAAACAGCATTAAGTGATTCAGAATAAATTCAGAGTAACAAAACTTCAGCTTGCAACAAGTCTGTGTTGGCTGAATATATTGAGCAGCTTCTACAGTTAAAGATAAAACTTAAAAAATTTAGTTTTGTAGTATTTAATTGTTATACCATTAATAATGAACTGAGTTAATTTGTCCTTAACTAGTTAAGTATTTAAATAAATAATCCTTCTAGGTTATTGGTGTCTTATTATTTTTTAAATAACATGAGACTTTGTGACTTCCTGCACTTGCTATACTTCAGTACAGTAAAAGTACTAAAAATGTCTTATATTAATAAATTCAAAAACAAGAAGTGAACAAAACTAGGGAGTTGAAATGGCAACTGAGCTAATGGGTGATCCTCTGCTGCCATCTACTGGTTATAATGCTAATTTCATGTCATTTTTGGCACTTTTGATTAAAAAGTGAATCTTTCAAGTGAATTTCTCTGCACAGCTGAAGAGTTGAGAAATAATAAAGGCTTTAAAATATTATAAGCGTTTAAAACATGTATTCATGTCTATGAAGGTAAGTTATCAAGTATCAAGAATACCATTACAATGTTGTTTATGAGATAACATCACTAGCAAGCCAACGTTAGCCTAAACAGTTATGATAGTGTCACACCCACCCACACACACACAGAGAGCAAGAATGAGTCAGTGAGCCCATAAACCGTGACAGATAGTGTGTACTTGTTAGCATTTAAATGTACAATTACGTGTCTAGGTACTCTTCTGGGATTACCAGGATCAGCATATAAAATTATGTTGTTAAGTGTTATTAAATAACATGAAGCTGTAAGATAATGCTGCTGTCATTATTTATTATACGTTATTTGTTTTTTTTTATTATATAAATAATTACGTATTTGTATTAGAGGTCGACCGATGTATCGGTTTTGCCGATTAATCGGCACCGATAGTTGATTGCTGGACCTATCGGTTATTGTCAAAAATCCATGCCGATAGTTTTCCGGGTTGCGTCCATTGCTGGAGCGGCTGAGAAGGGTCTGCTGTCATTATACAGTGCGAGAGCGGCCTCTAGTGGTTGAAATCACTGACAGCACGTGCTATTTGTTTAGACACGTGATACTGCACGCCAGTACTGTTTTTGTTAATAAAGCACTATTTTAGTTTTTGTTCAGTATCAATTTTAAAACAATCGGTTAATTAATCGGTATCGGCCAGTGTGGTCCAACCTAGCTATCGGTATCGGCAAAATCCACTATCGGTCGACCTCTAATTTGTATATCATCAGATGGACCAACTGAGAGGATGTTTCTCCAGGACCACTGCTACTCAACATTCAAATGGCAGGTAGAGCATCCATATGCTTGTTCAGGTGCAAGGTGGGAGAAGGTCTTGGACCCTATTCAAGATGAACTGGTGAGTATTGTTTATTTAGTGACACTTGCATATTTAAATGATAACCATTACTTAATCTGTTAAAATGTTCTTTATTTTTAGTTAAAGTATGTGTTGGACAAAAATCGGCCATCAGAAGAACTGATCATAAAGCAAGGCCAAATTTGCCTCACACGAGAAGACTTCTGGAGCCTGGGTTTAAGCCAGTGCATGGAATCTAATGTGTGTATTTTTAGTGTCTTAATTTACTGCACAAAAAAACAAATTCCTAGATAATGCATAATGTTACACATAACAGCTTTCACAGGGATGTAATTGTTCTGCAATACATTTCAGATCGGAAATGCCTGCCTCAAGATTGTGGAAGAAGCTACACGAAGACATGTACTTTATACTACCTTCTTTTAGAAGTAATCATTTGGATGTATGCATGTTTAATAACTTATGTTCTTTCCATAAGGGAAAAAATGTTCACATTGTGGACCTCTATGCTGTTCCCACCTGGAAAGACAAAAATGTGGACCCAGTGCATTGTTTGCCTGTAAGTTTTTTTTGCTATCATGTACTTATCAACCGAGAAAGAGTTCTATTGGGAATAGGCACAAAAGTATATGTTATTTTTGTGCATGCATATTATTTTGTCACAATACTATTAGGGAAACGTGAGGTCCAAGGATATCATACTATTTCCAGCTTGGAGCAGGCAGGCGGATGAAGCTGATCACTATCTGCTCTGTGTTAAGTTTCTGTTAATCTTTCTAGTTGTAATATTTCCAAATTCAACAGGTAGGGTTAGTGAGTTCGATTTTCGTGGATATTAACACAATACCCATTGATTGCAGGTTTTGTTTGTAGCTAAGAGGGAGATACTTTTTCTTGATTCTTTTCGCCCTGATGGTTTTGGAGATGAGACCTACAGAACCATATTTAGGTTGAGACTAAAGATAATTAATTTACTGGCCTTGTTCCAGGCCTGTTATTTGGTTACAATTTCCAAAAGGAGCCTTGTTCTCAGGCTTCAAGTTCGTATAAGAGCCTTGTTCTTAGGCTTCAAGTTCATATCCGAGTCTCATTCTTAGGCTTCAAGTTCATCAGAGTCTCGTTCTCAGGCTACAGAACTGATCATGCAATTACACATGATGTATTTTGTGTTTTCTTTGGAATGCCAGACACATTGCAACCTTCATTGTCCCAGGATCCTGGACTGAAAAAACAGGAAGAGACCTTGAGGTATGTTTAAAATGATGGAATTGTGTAAAGCTAATTTAAACTCCCATAAGTCTTTCCATCTTGTGAAGAAAAAAAAAAAGACAAAATAGCATTTTATGGTACTGCCTCTAGAGGGGCCTATAGGATCCTATGGAGATTCTTAACTGAGTAAAACAAGTGAAACATAAACTTAGTCCAATCTGAGGCTCGAATTTGCTTTTTTTATGCAGTCAGATACATTTAAACAAAAAATATATATTTTGCAAAAAAAAAAAAATTTTACTTTTCAAACTGAATTTTAATCAACATATGTATATTCATACAGTTTCATAAATATGTAATATAAAATATATATTTAAAACTATAAATATGCTATAAACTCATTGGTCTCCACCACAGCACTCAAATTTAACTTAAGTCAAAATGACAGTGATTTCCTAGCAATAACATCATTCATGTTATAATGTGTTTGAGTGTGTGTACCGTTTGTTTGTGTGTGTGTGTGTGTGTGTGGGTATGTGAGTTGTTTATGCATTGGGAATATTATATAGTCTCAGCCCTTTCGGTTGGGTATGCGTCTTTTGTGGATTGTGTCAGATTTTGTATATGTGACCTGGAGCAAAAAAACAGTCATAAGGGTCAATTTTTTGAAATTGAGATTTATACATAATCTGCACGTGCAAAAAAAATGGAGAAAATCAACTTTAAAGTTGTCCAAATTAAGTTCTTAGGAATGCATATTACTGATCAAAAATGAAGTTTTGATATATTTATGGTAGGAAATTTACAAAATATCTTCATGGAACATGATCTTTACTACTTATCCTAATGATTTTTGGCATAAAAGAAAAATCGATCAATTTGACCCATACAATGTATTGTTGGCTGTGCTACTTATGACTGCTTTTGTGCTCCAGGGTCACATATATGTTTATATATAAACTGTACATCTAAAAGTCAATAAAGTCTCATACCATAATTTTTTGTTTGTTTGTTTTTGTTTTGCACTCTTTTAGGAGGAGGTGCCATTGATTCGCCAGTGGTGGTGAATTCAGTTGATGGAGAGGTTTTGCCTTGAAGGGTATGACAGACTCTACAGATACAATTTCAGTATCTCGGCTGTATTAAGTCACTGTTGGCAAAGTGATACTAGAAAAGTGTTATACAAATAGAGTACATATACATTTACATATTTTACAAAGGCATGGACAGAGATTTGCACACTGGACAGAAGAAGCATCCCAACTCCTTCAGGGAACCCTTGAGCCTGTCTTTAGGGTGTCAAAATCCACCACCACCAAACAGTCACCCAGCAGAAGAGTTGTGGCTGAAGAGGACACTGATAAGGTAAATTATTTTATTGGTCATATATCACAGTTGCATGCAAGTTGGATAAATAGTTTAATTTGTTTGTGCCATTATATATTTGTATATTCAGGTGCAACAGCCTACCATCGTGAGAGACCTTCATACAGCTTGGTACTGGGTAAACAATCACAGAGACTTATTCCGTGGAGAGGTGACAGAGCCTGCTTTTCTGCAGATGAACAGTGAAAGTCAACAAAATGCACTCAGGAAGGCCCTGGGGAGTGAATTCCCTGAAGCAAAGGCTGACTTTTTGTTTATATTTCAGTCTCAAGATGACATGGAAACATTTTTGTCAAACTGTGTTGATAAACAAGGCCTGAAGGTCAATGCCATGTTCCTCAATCAGCAATTGTAGTAGACGAGGGAGGGAATGAATGAATGAATGAATGAATGAATGAATGCATTCATTCATTCATTCATTTATGAATAAATAATTGGAAAAAATATATATTTTTGTGTTTCTTAGATGCAGACATTTGTTAAAGTATGCTGAAATAAGTAAAACATATCTTTAGAAAATTAATAATTAAATGTAAAACACACACTTATATACTCATCTGTATATATATATATTTTTTTTAATAATTCCAGTCTCGATCGAGAGAACTCCGGTCTAATGCACGCGGGTTCTCGCGTATTTCCTTATCACTTCTCGCGTGTGTTTTGTTGTGAAACATAGTTTGCGGACCAGACAGAGCTGTCGGCGATTCTTCCCTTACAAAAAAAATACCTATACTAGGAATACCAGGAAAACCTACACACCACAAACCTGCACATTCCTACAGGATCCCACAGGATTTTCGTGACCATTTTCCTGTACGACTCCTTCAGGACTCCTGCAGGACTCCTACAGGAAACATGCAAGACTCCTTCAGGAATCCTACAGGAAACATGCAGGAATCCTACAATAAAAAAATTGCAAGACTCCTTCAGGAATCCTACAGGAAACATACAGGAAACATGCAGGAATCCTACAGAAAACCTAAAGCATTAGTGTTCAGTCCTATAGGACTTCTGCAGGAATCCTAATGAACTATTATTTATACTCATCCTGTTGGACTGCTGAAGGGATATTCACGGCCTCCTGTATGACAAAACACTTTTTAAAAGCAATTTCCCAAAGAAAGTCTATTCTCTGACTCCATCTGATTTAGACGTTTCAGTAGCTTGTCCTTGTTTTCTGTACAGGAAAGGTTCATTTCTGAATCTTTGTTAAAGGCCAGTATTATAGTATTGTTAAAGTATGTCATTTTTGAGACCTACTGTTCATTATTAAATGTAATTGCTGTTCGTAACGCAATATTTATGTTTTAATATTCATTATTCTTATAGTTTAATATAGTATTTATTGTATGCTTAATGTATTTATATTTGTTGTACAGACACCACAAAATAAATTTGACAAGAAAAGACAAGATCGTTTTTACTTTCAGCAGAACAGATTTTTTTCCCTCAAGAATTCATCAATATAAAAAAAATTTAAGTAATTGAATGCACAACTAGGAGATGTTAGATTTTAGATATTCCCAAGTGAAATTAGTAATACATGGTACACCTATAATAAATGGAATTTAAAGTTTAATTAAAATAATCTATGAAGAATAATGCAGTTTTTTTTTTAAAGATTAATTATTGTAAATAACTTGTATGTATTGGCCTATTGGCAAATATTCACATATTACATAAAAAGGACAATTAGCCTATGTGTTTTGTGCAGTTTAAGTGAAATGGTTCTGTGTAATGAAACGCCTGACAGTTGCACCCTCCTGCACTTCTGGATCTTGGAGCTGTCTATATTGTTCATCCTGTGGGACCTCCTCAATCTCTTGACCTACCAGATCGTCAACTGGCATCTTCCACAGCATGGCCAAATTATGCAGAACAATGCATGCTCCTGTCACCTTTGCTGCTCTCTCTGGCTCCATTGCAATTCCTAACGAGAACAATTGATTCAAAACTTGTACTTCATTTGAAATATTATCCTGTCTAAACAGATAAACAAATAATCCAACAAATAATAAATCTGCTGTCACATAGGCCTACCCCTGTGAAGACATGACCACCTCCTTTTTAAAACACCAATGCTTCTTTCAACTGTTACTCGTGTCTTGGTATGTGCAGAATTGTATTTCTCCTCTACTTGCGTGGACGGATTTAAGTATAGTGTCATCAACCACTTTTTAAGTGGATATGCAGAATCACCCAGCAAAATGCCACTATACTCGCCAGAATCAAATTTGTCATAGATGTTTGATCTCCTAAGGATAAAGCTGTCGTGCTTTGAACCAGGCCATCTAACGACACAGTTTAAAAAACATACATTTGGGTCACAGATGACTTGGGTGTTTAGCGAATGAAAGCCCTTCCTATTAACAAAAGCATTCTCATCCACTGTGGGTGCTTTTATCTTGATTTGTGTCCCATCAATGCAGCCAAGTACATGAGGGAAACCGACAATGGAATGGAATTTTTGCCTGTTTGCATTTTGTCCGTTAATGCTTGGCATGCATATGTAGTTTTTCATATGACGACAGAGGGCAAGTGACACCCTGCGGACCACTCTACATACTGTAGATTTGTGAATCTGTATGCTGTCGCCTACTAAGTTCTGCATTGATCCTGTTGCAAAATAGCATAAAGCGATGCACACTTGTAGGTTGGGGGAGAGAAAGCGCCGTTTCGGTCTGTTTCGTGTTGAATATCACCATATGTCCGTTATGCGCAATATTCCCTCTCTTTTAAAGCGCAAACGAGCATATATGTCGACATCATCATAAATATCCAAAGGATGATGTCTGTCTCGTAAAATTAGTCTACGAACATGCAGTACACAGCTGGTGCAACTGGCCCCAGATACGTTGACGCATCCGCCATTTTGGAACGGTCAACTAGACGTCATTCACCATAACAATCAATGAATATTCAAAGATATACAAGCATATAACTTGCTGTAGTAGACGCACACATTCAACACGCTCAAAGGTTCGCAGACTGTTCCAAAAATGGCGGATGGCTTACGTATTACGGCCCATAGAAAGAGTGGATAATGAGGCATCTACGTATATATATCTATGGTCGAGATCCCGAAGCGCAGATGTTTCGAAACACTGCTCCGAAGTGTGATGCGAAACACCCATGTCACGTGACTAAGGCGAATCAAAGCATCGGGGCATTTCACAAGTGTTTCGAGACCCGAATCTGCTTTTGATCGACAGGGTCAGGAACAAACCACACAATCGCACATCTGTCTTAACCTAACTCCCGCAAAGTATAAAAGTGGAGTTAATGCAGCAGAACAATTAATATATTTAAATAAAAAATCTTTATATATAAAAATACCAGGCATTGTGGCTTCTTGTCTTTTATTAATGTTAATTTTTTCACGACCAAAATAACATATTCACAAAGAGTTCATTCAGTTGTCAGAGAGAAGTTACAACACATTACAAGAACAGAAAAATAAAAACACAACTTTCAAATATTTATTATAATTATATACATGCTTCACCCGGATTCGAACCTAAAGGGAGAGGTTCTGACAACATGCCAGTTGGGCACACTAACCACTCCCCCAACCTTGGAGGTAAAACAAGCACAACATATATGTTATAATTTGTCAATTCGCTTAACTGATTCGTTGTCAATGCTGTTTCAGTGCAATACTTGAAAATGACCACTAGGTGTCACCTTAGAGACGGGTGTCGAATTGGTACGAAGCCTCGGCACATTTGCTTCGATTGTTTCAGTGTTTCACGAAGCCTCGCTCTGCCCACCACTAGTCGAAATTGCATCCCTATTTGTGTGTTATGTTTTGTAAAATGTATTGTATTGTACTTTAGTTTAAAACCCCTTAACTGTCACCTGTGGGACGCTTGGCGCTCTTTTTTTGTTGTCCTTTTTCTCTATCAAATCCTTTAGTAATTCTCATAAATCATATATCATTTGAAAGCTTAGAAGCCCAAGATTCATCCTGTAAATCGGACATTGCGTTACCATGGAAATGGTACTTTAAATGGTACTCTTTTGGCGGTCTCCTCCCCCTTAGTGGGCGGTGTCAAGTGTCATATTACAAAATGCATTACGGTATTTTAGAATCAAACCTTTTTATAATCTTGACAAAAAAGATATCATTGGAAAGGTCCTAGTCTCAGGATTCCATATTTTGAGATAGAAGTAATATTGACAGAGAAATCTAGACATTTGTGACAGAAAAATGCATAAAAAAA